CTGGTTTTTTGCATCTAAAACTACGTTTAATTATATGGTGAGAATTCTTTGTAGAATGTCGTGGGGACGGAATGTTTTTGTTGTTGTATTTATGGTTGTGTTGTATGCTGCTGCAAGCAAACGAAATTAAGGTTAAAGGTTACTTTGTTCTCCCGAGGTGCATAACACACATACTTACCGACTTTATTGTCACCTTGTCAAGGGACTAACGCAGTCAGCGTTAGCCACGCACAAGCTCAAAACGTGTCTGCGACTCCTTGAACTGTACACGTTTCCGTTGCTGCACATGTGCCTCGGTAAGGAAAAGCGTGGCTGCCACCAGTGTCATGACCGTGCCCACACACGCCAGCACAAAAGACCATCCGAACCAGTTGTTCGCATGCTCCGGCATCCAACCATTGCGATTGCCAAACACGGCAAACACAATCACTGCAATGGCCGCACTGACGCCAGCACCCAATAGCACATAGCCCACACCACGAATTAGATTGATGAAGTGCTTTTGATCTGGTCCAGCGCAGAGGAAAAACACCAGAACGCCAATGGCACTGACCAGCATGCCAATAAACGCGAGCGTGTAGAAAAACTGTGTGGTTATCATGAAGGCAGGCAGCAGGAATCCGCGTATCTCATCGTAGCCCTTTGTAAATGGGTCATACACCCAACGGCAGCCTACAAAGAAGCGGCGCTGGCTGTCATCGTTCACATCGGGCAGCGAACGAAAACAGTGCACCCATAGACCCAATCTCTCCAACTTGGCACCCGTAATGCGATAATCGCTAACCAGCCAACTGGGCGTTGCAAACGCTATTGCTATGAAGGCGAATGCAAAGATGAAGACGCCAACGCCACAGCTGCCTGCTAGGGTGCGGCGCTTCATGTTGACGGTATTGTGTGGATTGGGAAGGTGCTCCTGGTATTCCTCGCGTGCAAAATGTGGCGATTTTTGCATGCTTTGTACAAAGAATTGGCAATATTTCACAGACTTCGAATGTTTGTTTCTTAGGCTTAGGGTGTGGACTGCAGAGTTGCATATCATCGCTTGGAGCACGTTCAATTGAGCGGCTCTCTGAACTGACTCACGGAACTAAGTCGCAGTTCGCGCATTTTGCTTAAGTTCAATTTTTTCGTTTATATTTGCAATTTTTTTTAATGCAATTGGGGGCGCAATTTTTAATAAGGCTAAGTAAAAAAAGGTTAGGATATTCGACATAACTGGAAAAACAAAATCTGCTAATTAAGCTTAAGTTGGAATTAACATGCGAATAACAGTGTCGTGACAGCTATCCGCACGACTAAGCTTGAGTATCGATAACGCAGGGCTGCAATCGTATGTAACCAGGGACTGTAATTATTCTATATTATATTATAAGTTTCATGTCAATTAACGAATTAGGTTTGGATATTCACTAGTCGGGCACTACCAAGATCACTCTGATTAAACAAATAATCATAAACATTACTTGCGGTCCCTTTATAAGTGCACTTTAACAGAGGCTTGCCCGCCGTTCACTCAAACATACACATTAAACAAGTATTTTCGTAAAATATAACAATCTTTATATGTATTGTGTTTACAGTCTTTAAATGAATAAAAGGCCCGTCCATGCATAACTACTATGTTTTGTACGTTTAAATGCTAAACCATGTGCGTCTTTGACAATTTAGAAGCTTCTTATCTTCAGTTTTAGAGGGCAGCTACCGCCTTCTGCGCGGCATCATCCAAGTCACTGGCCGTCTGTATTGGCAGACCTGACTTCTTCAGGATCTCCCGTGCCTTGGTTACATTGGTGCCCTCTAGGCGCACGACCAGCGGCACGTTCAGTTTTAATTTCTTGGAGGCAGCCACAATGCCATTGGCAATGGTCGCGCAGTTGACAATGCCACCGAACACATTCACCAGTATGCCCTTAACTTTCGGATCGGACGTGAGGATTTCAAAAGCTTTGGTCACCTGGTCCTCCTTGACTCCGCCACCGACATCCAAGAAGTTTGCCGGCTCACCGCCATTCAACTTTATAATGTCCATGGTGGCCATGGCTAGGCCGGCGCCATTAACTAAACAGCCAATGTTTCCGTCCATGGCCACATAGTTGAGATTATATTTAGATGCCTCTACCTCACGCGGATCAGCGTCCTCTTCGTGGGTGTCCAAGGCAAAAATGTCCTTCTGTCGGAACTCTGCATTGTCATCAAAATTCAATTTGGCATCCACAGAAATAACTTCGCCATTGTCGGTCTCGGCCAAGGGATTAATTTCAATTTGCACAGCATCCACGGCCTTGAAAAGTGTGTAAAGCTTTTGAATCTCGTCGGCACAGCGTTGCACAGTATCTCCTTTAAATTCCAGAAACTTGGCGACCTCGAGCAGCACGGCCTCTGGTATTGGCTTGTTAATGCTCAAGGGCACAGTCTTAATCTTCTCGGGGGTTTCGGCAGCCACGGCTTCAATGTCCATGCCGCCAGCAGGCGAAGCAATCAGCACAGGTCCATTGTGTTCGCGATCCAGCAAAATGCAGAGATAGGTCTCGCGTGTAATATTTACACTGCGTGCCACCATCACCTTGTTGACCAGTATACCCGATTTGGGCGTCTGCTTGGTAATCAGACGGTTGCCTATCATTTGTTTGCTCAGCGAAAGCACATCGCTCTTGCTGCAATGCAAAAGTACTGGGCAATTATTAATGTTTATTATTTGGCAGCCATCCTCTTATCGCGACCGCGTTATCATTGCAGAGACGGCAGCAAATGATGGCCACTTACTTTGAGGTTATGTGCACGCCTCCCTTGAAGCCATTATCAAAGATACCCTTGCCGCGCCCGCCGGCTAATATCTGCGCCTTGACCACATACTCGTCACAATCTGCGTGGTAATTAGCAACAATTAATGCAACGATTATATAAATTTTGGTCAATTTGTCTTCGCTTGATTACCAAATGATTGGACAGCTTGCGTATCATCTTTGGAGTTATCCAAGACCTTGAATTGTTGTATGGCAACTCCATATTTTTGTAGCAAATCCTTGGACTGGAACTCCAACAAATTTAGATACCGCAACTGCTGCTGCAGCACCGGTGCCTTAAGATAAACAAAGAAATGGAGTTTGAGGCAAAGGTCAACGCGGGTTAACATATGTTAAAGAAACCTTATGAATGAGCTGACGTGTAGTAGTAGCGGCTTTTAATAGTAGCGACATGTTGCACTTTAAAATTATACTGGACTTTGTATACAAATTAAATTTTGATATGGCGTAGCAATTTTTATTAACAGCAATTAATCCAGCTTGTTTAAATAGCAACCAAACGCTGCCGCCGCCGCCGTCGTTTAAGAGAACAGCGCTTAACCTAACAGAGACGTAAACGCAAAGAAGAGTACCGTAACGCAAAATGAAGCAATGTAAAGGCACATATGATTTTAATAATTAATATTTGAAAAAAAACAAGTTTGAAATAAATAGTAACGGGGTGAAATCATTGTGTAATAATTTGCGACCGTTAAACATAAGATTATAAAATAACTAAAGTTATGTGCTTGCTGACTGCTATCAAAACTGTGTCAGCTTAGTCTTGTACTTAACAGTGCTCTGTTAAAACAATGATATGATAAATCATCAGAGTTAGGGCACTTCTAGAATTTTACCAACAGCTGTTTTTGAAATATCTTTTTATTACTGGAAAAAAAAATAAAATTAATGATTATTAATAATAAAATAACTAAATTGAAAATCTAAGTGAAATGGCTGATGAAAGTATAATACTGCCGCCGCTGGCCTCACTGCCACAAATTCCGACTGCCATATCAGTCAGTTGTAGCTTTACCTTGGCCGTCATCTATGTGGGAAGTCTATATGTGTGGAGCACCAAGCATAATCGCGATCATCCGACGACAATAAAGCGACGCTTCGCCAGCGTCTCCTGTGTCATGTTAATGGCGCCGCTTTTTGTTTATTTCTTCTCATCACCAGAATTGCTGCAGCGAGAGCCATTCCCCAGCCTGCTCGGCTTCCGCTGGCAGGGACTGTGGCAGGCGATTGTGATACCCTATCTGCTCACCGCTCTGTTGTTTTTGGGACCCATCTTTGTGAACATGCAGAACGAATCATTCCGTTCCTACTTCGGTATGCCGTCTATAATGAGACAATCAATAAATTATTAACGTTTCCTTTCGTCAATTTGTAGACCTAGAAGCCTGGCGTGGCTCTTGCACCAGCATTATATGGATACGTAACCTTGTGATGGCACCGTTGAGCGAGGAATTCGTTTTTCGTGCCTGCATGATGCCACTTATACTGCAAAGCTTCACACCCATGAATGCCGTTTTTATAACGCCTCTCTTCTTTGGAGTTGCCCACCTGCATCACATCGCCGAGCGTCTGAGTGTGGGCATGGAGCTCAGTACCGCATTGTTCATCGGGTTGTTCCAATTTACCTATACGACGCTGTTTGGTTTCTATTCGGCATTCTTATTTGCCCGCACAGGCCATTTTGTAGCTCCGCTGCTGGCTCATGCCTTGTGTAACCATATGGGACTGCCCGATGTACAAGATCTTTGGCAGCAGGATCTGTGGCGGCGCGTTCTTGCTATTGGTCTGTATATTGTAGGGCTTGCTGGTTGGATTTACCTACTGCCCATTGCAACTGAGCCGTCGCTCTACAGCAATAAGCTTTACTGGAATGCTTAGAAGCCAAAAAAGGAGTAGTATGATCATTGTATTGTTGCCATAATCGAGATTTCGGTATCTCACAACCCGCATACATATGTATTTATGTATATTAGTAAGTCATATCATAGGAAACTGACTGTACAATGTTTAGATAAGTCTTCCGTTAAATAAACAGTGCTACTATTTTTAGAAAACACAAATATAGCTTTAAATGTGGCGCCAAACGTGTGGAGCAACTCTGTGTATCACAACTATCGATATTACTATAAAATCGCACGATAGCTTGGCAGCTGCGACAGCGATAACGATTACATCGTCATATGTGTAAAATGTTTTAAGAAATTAAGAAGCATGAGCAATGTGTGATAAAAAAATACGCACAAAAAACTGACGCTGAAATTAGCAACGAGCACTCCAGACAGCCGGACTTGTGGCAGGTAAGTGTCATAAGTGTATATAAGTGGGTTTTTGGGTAGCGCCAGATACAGCAACAACTACGCCCACACCACAACACAATAATGCTGACGTCTCGCTCGTCCCAGGACAAACGATAATTACAATTATAGCCCTAGTTCTTAATGTTTGCAGCAACAACAAAGCCAAATAAACGACACGTCAACGTTGCGGCCCGAAAATGTATTGCCTGCAATGTTTACTCCCCGTATTGCTCATACCAAAACCCACAAACCCAGCGCTTATGGAAACGCATGTCATGTTCATAGTGCTATATTTAATAGGCTTCTTTCTGGAACGGAAGCCATGTACGATCTGTAGCCTGGTATTCATCACCGCCGTTTCGCTGATCTGCTACAGCGGCGTGGGCAACTGCATCTTCTGGGGCAACTGCGAGGGACATCACTGTGAAAATGGTTAGACGCCGCCGACCCAATTCAACAGCAGTGTACAGAATACAGGAGTGCTAAATAATAATTACGTTCGCGTTGCTACAGCTTTACAATAGATACAATTTGCATACACAAACAATCCAACAAACAAACAAACAGTCAGTGATAAAAGTGAGTGAGTCAACAAGAGAGGAGGAGAGCCGAAGTGTGTGGTGTGTACGTAACTCGTACGTGAAAGTTTGTAAACAGAAGAGGAAACTAAACTGTATATCTGCCCACTCAGAAAGCCAAAAGAAAATATTAACAAGTCCATCCCAACGCGTTCGATAGCCTGTTTCTACTGCTGGTATTTTGTGTTTATGTATTTTAATTTAGCTAAATTTTCTGCCCCTCCCCCCAAATCCAAATTGTATTCAACTGTTTTATTTAGAATTAGAGGCGAGAGTTTCGTTTTAACAAGCGCTACAAAATGTATTGTAAATTTTCTGATTATGAGGAGAGGTACCCCGTCAATGCAACTTGAGATTAGTCATATGTTATTAAAATAAACTAATTGTAAAAAGAAAGAAACGAATTATAATATTGCTGTGCGTCCTTGCTGCGCCAATGGACGTTGATATCGGTTGTTCCCTGTCCTGTGCACATGCAAATTGTATATATATATATACACACACGACAAGCATACATATATACATTACATTTGATTGATATATAAATGTATAAAATAATCAAAAAAAAAAAATGTTGGATTTTCTTTACGAATTGCACTTCGTAAAATTAATTTAAGCAACTACAAATTTTCCAATTTGTTTGGACACGAGTTTAAGAAAAATCACAAAATAACGTAACAGAAACGAAGAATATCTATTAATAAAAACATTAAAGTAAAATAAAACAATTTATTGACGCTGTAGCTAACGAGATGTTTTCATTTCAAGTGCAAGCTGCAGCTGAAGATCGTTAGCATTGGGATAGCTACGTGACATCTACCTTTGGACAGCTTAAATTGTTTATTGTTGTGCTTCTCTGTGTGTATTATTGAATAACTTTTCTGAATCGAAATTAATAAAATTCTATTCTGTGTTTCTCCTATATGCCACCCATATTATTATTCTTGGGCGCATGCACTAAAGTATCCAGAGCATAGTTCTAATAAAATCCTCCATTATAATGCACACAGTATCTTTTGATTTCCAATTATCCACAATTTTATTCGCTTCAAAATGTATGTATATAAAAAATTTACAATTTGTTGGTGTTTTTTTTTTTGTTTGTTTACTTACTAAAAACTACAGAAAAGTATTAAAAATAAAATACTAGAATTTATATACAAATTTCATCGGATTTATTGTGAAAAAAAGGACGAAAAGAAAAATACTTCAAAACTGTAGACATATATTCAAAAGAAATACGATTTATCTTCAAGGCTCACAAAACTTGAGAGGACCGATTGGAATGTTATACATACAATATCTTTTTTACGAAAATATAGAAATACATATATAGAAATAGTGGGGGAAGGAGATATAGGTGGAAACATATATAAAGAGATTTCTTTTGGGGGCCAAAACTCAAAATTTCTATCGATTGACGTTTTCATTTTTGGCGTTTTGGGGGCTGCTACACATGCAAACGCATTAGTTTTGAGATGTTTTCGGAATCGAGCAACGGATGACGACACAGTTACAATTTGATATGGAAACAATAACGACGACCACGACGACAACCAGATACGATTCGCAGAGCAGCAATCACAGGCGTGTTGTTGTTGTTACTTAAACGGAACGAGGCTGGACGACTGAAAGAGAGAGAGAGAGGATCATTGGTTGACTGCCAAGTGAGTTATATGGTGAGTGCTCGGTGCTTACAGTGTGGTCGCTGCGACTCTTCGGAGGCGGGGCCGCCCTCGGCTGGCTGCATCATGGGCACGGGAATGCGCACGGGCTGGGCCAGGCTACGTCCAAAGATCATGCGGCCGAATGGCACCTGTGGTGGCTGATCGGGCATGGGTGGTGTCATGGTGTCGCGTGGCTGCTCCGGCAGCGGCTGCAGAATCAATCGTTGTATCTGCATAGGAGGCACTTGCTCCTCCTGTTGTTCGTTGGACTCCTGGTCACGCTGCTGCTGCTGTTGTTGCTGTTCTGGCTGCTGCTCGCGCTGCGGGCTTGGGGACTGGGCTGCAGTGGTGCTGGACTGCTCTCCGGATACCACAGGCGTCTCGGAGTGATCTTCCTCCTCGCTAGAGTTGGCGCTATTGTTCTCATTGGAGTCGGCAGCATCCTCAGCGGTCAGGCGGCGCAGCTCGTCGGTGAAGCGGTCCTCGGCCATGCGCTGAATGTTGCGCAGATCATCAGCGGTGATGCCCACACGCTGTAGTGCCATGCCCAGTGGCATGTGCTGGATCTGGATCTGTGGCATCTCGCGCTGTGGCATCTCACGCTGGGGCATCTCACGCTGGAGCAGTTCACGCTGCATCATCTCGCGCTGTGGCATCTCACGCTGTGGCATCTCGCGCTGTGGCATCTCACGCTGCTCCTGCTGATTCTGGGCGGGCATGGGCATATCGTTGGTCATCTCAAACGGACGGAAAGGCAACTGATGCATGTGAATGCGCACGGTCTGAATTTGGGGCTGCTGCGGCTGCTCCTCCATGCGCGGCGCCTGCATCACCTGTGGGGGCATTGGTGGACGCATGGGCAGATGCTGGAACGGAGGCGGCAACTGGCGAATGATAATGGAACCCTGCTGGGGCAGTTGCTGTTGCATCGCTGGTGGCATCATGCGCTGTGGCATGTGGGTCAACGGCATCTGGTCGGGTATGCGGCCAAATGGAATGGGCACACGCTGGAATGGAATGAACATTGGGCGCATTGGCTCAACATCTTCATCTGAATCTTCCTCCTCCTCGCGCTGGCGCTTGGACTCCTTCTCTTCCTTGTCGTCACCGCCATCGCAGAAAATGGAAATACGTTCGCCTGTGATGCGTGCCTTCTTCGGATCGGTGGTCAGATTGACGCCGAAAGGCAGCGACACGGTCTTCGAGGGTGAGTCGACAAACTCCTCGGCATGCTTGCGCTCCACCACGCAGTTCATGCGGGATCTATAGAGAATGGATTAATATAGATACACGTCTAAATTAGGAGTGTGCTAATTACTTCTTGTTGTTGCGCAGAATGGCGGCGGCCAGATCGCTCAAGTCCAGCTCGAGCGGCATCTTGCCTGGGAACTTTTGCATCTCCTCGGTCTCATCGCTATCTGAATAGGAATTGTCGTGATCGTTGACATTGTGTTCAATGCCCTCGTTCTTTGATTCCGTTCTCTTATCAACAACGGTCTCATCGTGATCGAGATTTTGCAAATCCTCACCGGCATCGGATTTGCCCAGCAAAGCTTCAGCTCTTGGTAGCTCCTATAAAATACAAAATATAACTAAGTGTAAGAATGCATTATATTATTTTAGATTTTCATTCAAGATTTAAACCATTTGGTGCTGATCTGATCGATAGAGAAATAGCGCATATATACCGAAAAAATATAAATATATATATATATCTATTTATATTTATATGTATATGATATTTTGCAAAGGTTTGTTGTTTTCAGACAATTTCAAGGCTTTGGTGGATTTGACTAGGAAATGTATTTGACGTATTTTGTCGCTTATTTTGTTTTATTTTCCTGTATTTTTGTGATTCGTTTTTTGTTAGAAACCACTTAAAATACTTTTGGCCAGCAAGCACGTACTGGCAATATACGACTACAGTGGCTGCAATTGTTATGTGCCTCTAACAATGAGTCGTTGTCGTCAGAAGAAGTGACCCCAACCTACATACAAAAACGACGCGACGTCGGACGCAACTGCGACTGAAACCAAAAGTAAAATGCCATAAAAATTAAAAAAAAAAAACCAAACACATATTACATAAGCACAAACACACATACACACACTTTAGCTGAGCATACTTCACGACACAGCAAAAAAAAAAAAATGCTCACACACAAAAGCAAATTTAAATAATTTGTTGAACAAAACAACAAAAACCTCATTAATTCAATGCGATGGCTGCGGCTGCGGCTGTGGCTGCTGCTGATGATGATTGATAGTGGGACACAAGTGGGCAGCGGGGCAGGGTGTGTGGGTGGTTTTGAGGGTACCTGCCCAGGGGCAGAACGCCAGAAAGTCCGCAAGCAGCCGGTGCTTTGGTTTGAAAACTAATGTTATAGACAGCGTCATTGTCATCAGCATCGTATATATCCGGTAGCTAATGGGTTCTGCGGCTCATTATCTGTGGCTTGACATTGGACCATAACTTAAGGGAAGAGTTTCTTACTAATTGGACAGCTGCAATTGCAATTTTAATTTATTTGACGGCTGGTCAAGTCAAGCAGCCACATTTCCTATTAAAAAAAAAAAAAAAAAAAAACAACAACAAAAACTAAACCCAATTAGCTGGCTCAATACTGTTTGGGTATTTTCCTCTCGGCATATCTGGGCAAACAAAAGGTTGCAGCTGTGCTGCTGTGCTCTAAGCAGATTCATTAGTGCTTAATGAAGCGCAATAGATTTCTTATGTGGCGGCAACAGATGCTGCTGGAGAGCAAAAGCTAAGACCAAGTATTTGGTTGCTCGGTCTGAGTCATATGTGACACATAATTGCTTTTCGCCTGAAATCCAGCCACAAAATTTCACTCAAAAATATAAATAAAAGCAGAAAAAATGAGTAACTGAAACTAAAACTGAGCCAACCAGTTTGACAACACCAGAAACCAAGTCAGCAAGTCTCTGTTCCAGTTCCAGTTCCAGTGCCGCCTTCCCTGCCCGGCCAACCACTTAGTCAATTGCTAAGCTTCAACTCCGGTTTACAGCTCAATTTTTTTTTTATTGTGTTTACTTTTATTTTTCTGTTAAATTTCAAGGCCAGGCAGCGCCGAGAGATAACATCAATTACCCAGCACAGAACATTTGCGGGCACATTAAAAACTAGACACGTAGGCCCCATTTGGATTCGCACTGCGGCGCGCACACATTTAGATGACAATTAAATGATTACAAATTGAAAGCTGTGTGCAATTACTTTTTTGCCTGACTGTCTGTCTGTCGGTCTGTCCGAAAGTCTGACAGTCTGTCTGGCTGTCTATAAACCTATTTTTAGCATTGACGCAAGTGCCATTTTCAAATTGAAATTCTAGGCGCGCAGAGTTTCCTTTTGAAAATCCCAAGCGTTATTAAAATGTTCAGCAGGCAATGTCTTGGCATCTGGCAAAGTGTTTGCAAATTTGCACAACAGCCACATAAATTATAAATCATCTATTGCGATGTGCGAGTGTGTGTGTGTGCGAGCGTATATTGCCATTACATAATCGTCCATTGGGGCCCATAAGTTTTGGCTTTGTTTGCGTGCCCAAAACGAAAGACTTAAGCGCGCAACTTGCCTTAAATGGCAAACAGTCAACGCGTCTTCGACTGCGTCTTTTGTCTATATGTGTGTCGGCGCCTTCTGTGTGTGTGTGTGTGCTGACGACTTACAAGTTGTCTGTCTGTCAGTCTGCCTGCCTGTTCGTGTGACGGTGCCAAGCGGCGCCAGCCGGCAAAAAGTGACAGCAAATGCATTATGGCTGCTGCGGCTGCCCCTGCCGCTGCCCCTGCCCCTGCCCCTCTACCGGCTGCTGGTGCCGCCTCAGCTGATGATCTCTGGCATTTGCCGCGCCCACGCCCGCTGCGCCGCGCTTGAGCGGATTACTATGTGGCATATGTGTGTATAAAAGCTGGTTTTTTATTTTTCCACAGACATTGCAACATGTTGCAGTGGCTGCTGCTGCTGCTGTTGCTGTTGCTGCTGTGTTCCGTTTGCTGCTTTCACTTTGTATTTGCCATTTGATTCGCAATTGTTGCCACTGATGATTGTGTCGCAAGCTCCCAGCACCCGAGCTCTACCATTTTGGTGTCCACTTAAGCGTCAAATTATGGGAATTTCGCTTGATTGAATTTTTCATTGCGCCTCCGCGTCTTTACATAAGCCCCCTAACACTTTATATAGAGAGTTTCGGGTTGAATAACCCGCTCCAAATTGGCAGCATCATCTGACGAGGCTTTTGTTAAATTCATTTATTGTTGTTGCTGTTTCGGTTTTTCATCATTAAATTTAATTGCCGCTGCATATTTATATATGCATTTAATTAGTTTTATTGTTTGTTATGGGCACTTTCATTGCACGATAATTGAATACTGATGATGCGGCATAATTCAGTATGCAAATGTTTAGAAAAAAAATCACGAGTTATAAAAAATATAGTTAGAAAAAATATGTAAAATAAATAAAAGAAATATGCATACGTTTGAGGTTGTCTTGCAGATGATTTAGAAACGCCATTAAATTTGAATTATGTGGCATGCGCAAAATGCGCCGTCATCAAACGATGTATACACCCATATATAACATTATGGCATATACCATATGCCATATACCATATGTGGTTGTTATGGTGCGGCTATAATGGTTTTAATGGGCTATTTGGTTACATAGGGTGAAATTTCTCAAGGAAGCACGCAACACGCTAATTGAATTTGCACTTATACAATTTTAGACGAATATGAATATGAATATATATACGAATGTGAATGCACAATGAGTGCCCAATAGCAGTTGTTGTTGTGCATTCAATTGCCTTGATTGTGCATGCAATGTGGTAAATATTGCGCTATATATATATATATATAGACATACAACTTGTTAGGCTTTAGATACAATTAATTATATCTTGTAATGACAGCACAGTTTTCAGTTTTGCATATCCAATTGATATTGTGTCGGCACTTTTTCTATATATCTGTGATTTATAGTCGAGCCTTGATGTAGATGAGCTATTATTTACTTTCAAATTGGTTTTTCAGTTTATATACTGAATCATGTCGGAAAGTTTCAAGCTAATCGGAACTATAAACTTTAAACTTTAATTTCATTCAAGCTTATTTCTTCAGTTAATATATTCTTTGTTAATCTTACGAACCGTAAAATAGGAAGTTTAAGTTTTATTTCATTTGCTCAAGCTGCACCACTCTAATCTGAATTCTATTGAGCTGCCCGTTCACTGCAATTATCTATAAGCGCTTGTGGGTTTTATTTCGCTTGGGGTTTTCCATTATTTTGCCAAGCTTTGAGTAAACAACAACATTAAATAAAAACCTAAAGGCAGCTGTTTTGTTGCTTGATTATGCGGGCATACAGTGCCTGCAAAAATGTTGTATACCAGAGCTTGTGGCTAATAGTGCGTGCAGTAAACAGGCTGAAAGAAACTTAACATGCACTTATCTAAGCCCTGTGTGTATTGTATATTGTCGGGAATAATCAGCAAACACGCATCCAACAGGCAGTTGTTATATCCAGTTGTCGACATTTTCCGGTAATTATCATTAATTTACCACAATAATTCGACTGTTGCGGCTAATCAGCGCGTCGAAAATGTTCGTGACGTGCGCAACGAACGATGCAAAAGGCAATAATAGCCATATAACATTATAAAGATTAGGTAACCATATGAATTTTACACGATATACGACTCGAATACTGACACCGACCGATACGAAATATACGTTTATGTAGCGCTCTCTCTCTTTCTGTATTATGAGTCCCTATCCCGCCGGCTAATCTTTAAATCTTGAATAGCTGTGCATTCAGGCGTTTAACAGTCCACTTACCTTGTTCACCTGCTGCAGCGTTTCCAGCATCAGCTCCTTCTCCAGCACCGAATCGAGAGCCTGCACTTGATCACAGGAGGCCTTGGCCTGCAGATACGATGAGGCCAAAATGAAGGCGCCCAGCACAAACGAGGACACAATTATGGTGAATGCGGTGATTTTGGCTATTTTCACCGAATTCGCCTGACGCTTGTACGCCTGCAACAACAATAGCAATGTAAAAAGATTAGTTTTAGTTTTTAGTTTTTTATTTCGTGTTTTAATTATTGACTACAATCAAAAAAGACAAAAGTAAAAGTGTTACGTGCTCAATTTTAAGCGCTGACCTTTCGAGCGAGTAAAAGCGTTGACCTTGCTTGTTGGCAAAGTCTTTGACTTTGTGGCTCACGTGCCGAAATGTTGCAGTGCAAGGTGCAAAAACAGAAATGAGGTTAAAAACTTGAATGTTAAGGTAAAATGCAAACGTTTATAGCGAAAAAGTAAAAGCTTTTTGGGGGTTTCCATAGAATCAGACTTTGCGGCCGTCAAGTTTTTCATTTGGCTTTGATAGGCGTAACTGGAACTGATTAGATCATCCCAAAAAACTTTTAGATTAGGCAAAAATTAACAGCAAAATGTTTGACAAATATTTGTCTAGTTTTTGTAGGTGCAAAAATTTGTAAGTTGATGTCAAAAGAAGGCCCAATAAACAAATAAGCCAGATAGACTGTTAGAAATAACAAAAACTTGCACAACAGGAAATAATAAAAAAAAGAGGCGACCACAAAAATTTGAGGAAATGAAAAGGCCAACAGAGCAGAGCCCCAAAAAATCAAAACAAAAAACAAAAGACTGAGGAGAGTTTTAAAGTCTTTGCTGCTTTGGGTGTGAGTGCAGTCAGTCAGGTGAGGCACAGATACACTCATGTGTGTGCGTGTGTGTGTGTGTGTGCTGTGCAGCGAAATGTGCAATTTTACACCTTTAGATTGTGAGTATTGTGCTCATTTTTTGTTGTTGTTTTTTGTTCAACAAATGCAATTGCGAAAGTGAGTCGCAGCCGAAGTCGAAGTCATCAGCAACAGCGAGTATAGTGTATAAAGTAAAGTGAAGTGCTATGTGGTGAACGTTAGGCATAGCTAAAGCAGCAAAAATAAAATAAAAAATGAAACAAGAAGATGAACAAAATACGGCTCTAGCTTGTTACTGTTGATGAGTTTTTGTTGTTGTTGCTGTTGCTCATTATTTGTGTAGCTGGTGTTGGGTGCAGTTGTTAAAGACAAAAGACTTGAACGACAAACCTGATGATTAAAGTTAAAAAATCCCAGCTGTGGTTTGTTGTGTATAGTGCGAGGGGGGTTGAAATTATATAAATTTTTTTTTATTTTTATTTATATTTAGGTGATTGTCAATCGCGTTTGGATTTGCATTCACAATTTTGGTTGAAGTGTGTGTGAAAGGAAAACGATTTTTGTGTTTGATGGGCAAAGGCACACAAAAACACAAACACACACATACACATAAAATGAGAGAGAAACAAAAACAAAAGGTTAATGAGTTGGTTGCATGAAGGTTTCATATTATATTTAAGTGAAAGCCGCAGGTCTAAGTACACCAACTGAAGGCTGTTCGAGAAGATGCGACTGGTAGTTTGTAATTTGATCAATGCATATGTGGCATGATACAGCTCGCAAACTCGTTTGAATTGAAAATCGAATAAATTTATTAAGAGGCATTGACAGGCTTGAATAGACGCAAATCTAGCCGAAATAGTTGTTAGGCTCCAAAGTCTACATTTTATTTCAGTTTTCATAAGCTTTTTACATTGTCTCATTAGCCGGTCAACTCTTGCATCAGTCCCTAGCTCAAGCCCAGCTGGGGTCACTGTAAACTCAATTGCGTGTTAGCTAACTGCCAGCTTTCACTGTGCGGCCCCAGAGAGGCTGCTCTATAAGTGGGCTGGCCGCTCGTTGAGTGAGTGGTGCAATTTATGGCTGATGCGGACGTTTTGCAAATGCAATGCAATGCAAAAAAAAAATACAAAAATGGGAAAAATGCAAATGCACTTTTTATGCAAATTTCAAATCAATTGCAGCCCACATTGCGCACAGTTCGTCAAAGCTCGAGACCTGGCGAACTCAGAGCTCAGCTTGGGTGCAATAATTGCGCCAGTTTTAGCTGCTGCTGCTGCTGCTGCCTGATGTTGTCATGGCGCATTATATTTAGCTTATTTGTTTGTGTTTATCATTATGAAGTTTTGTATTTACAGTCGTGACTTTTGTATTAGATCTCAAATTTGGTTTCCAACTGGTTTCTATTTGCTCTGCTCTGCTCTCCGCCGTTGCGGTTGCTGCAAATGGGTACAAATCTATTCACACTATGCCGAGAATTGCGCTGTATCCATTTGCTTCGTTGCAGCACTCGCTGCCTAGGTTTTGTTTCTGATTTATTTATTTAATTTAATTTTTCTTGCTTTTTTTTGTGTTGGTTTTGTCTTAAAATGTCAACGGCGCTTGACGGGGGTCGCACACAATTGCCAAAGCTGTGCACGTTGCATGCAATTCGCAGTGCCGGGTCTTAATGGCCACAGACACAGCGGCTGCATATAATCATAATAATAATTGGAAAAGTTGCATTAAAATTATCCACAGCCAAATTGCTTATGCATGCAGTTGCAGACAGCAGAGCCGGATCAGATGGCGACTTAGTTAGTGAAAATGATCACGTTTGCAGCTGCGTGCAGAAAGGCAAACACACAGACAGACCGACAGAGGGACAGACATTATCCGTGCACACAAAAGATGCAGGCAGCGACATATTGCGCATACGCGTCGTATGCCCGCAACGGATGTGCCGGCCAAACGAATGACCCTGGCATTTTTTTATATTTTTTTTTATTGCTACCTGACAATCTGCAGCTGGGCTCTGGCCAAGTAACGCTTGAATCGCTGCTGACCTGCTTGCAGCTTATATAAAGTTAGCGCAAATAATTGCCAGACTCAAATGACATATGGAAATTGTAATTAGCTGGGCCATTCAACAATGACAAATTGACGCATTAAACGCAATCTACCAAATATTGCTAGGGTCAATTATTTAATGATAATGATAGATGGCTAATTTCTAGGATTTTAATGTGGGGCTTACTCACCGGTGGCGGTTCGCTGGCGGTGCTGTAGACCTCGCTAGCCGCATAGTCGGGCTTCAATTGCACGGTAGCCATGGATACGTTATCCTTCTCGGTCATCTATGTATCTATGCACTATAAAATAAATACATAAATATGACTTGGTATTCATCAAACACTTAGGTTCACATTCAGCCTTAGATCTTATTGTTTTTCGTCATGCTGCACAAATAGTTTGAACCAATTTTTCGTGCACTTTCAAAATTGTAGCTGGTTCGTTAAAAATTGCATATTGGAAAAATTTCACTTTTTTGGACAATTGGTTTGTTTTTTTTTTATTTTCGTCTTCTTTTTAGTTGTTTTATTGTCGACTTCTCCACTTACATTGAAATTTATGTGTTTTGTTTTTAACAGAAACGACGCTCAGTAACGAAAAAGTAAAAGGAGTGTTGCGCTTTTTAAAATTTATTTTGTTGTTGTTTGTTTCGCTTGTTGGAACAGTTTTGGTCGCTTTGTGCGGTTATGAAAAAGTTGCCTGACCAACTTTTCAGAGGTCCGCCAGGTGGATAATGAAAATACTACGTCTTTGTTGTACGACTGCCACTCGCCGTCTGAGGCCTCAAACGCGTTTCGTTTCAGATTTTTCTACCAGATTTAAAACTTTTTTCGTCTGTCGGCGTCGACTGCAAAGCCACAAACACACGCAAAGCGCGGCTCACACACACACAAGCGCGCACATCAACTAATACACACGCAAGGCAAGTACACGATCGGCAGCAGCAAAAAACACGAACGTGAAACGAGAAACAAATAAAAATAAGAGTAACACAAAATACACATACACACGCATACACTTACCCACACACTCACATAGCATTAACAATCACTTGATCGTGTATATATATGTTTTTGCAGCCGAGCTCGACAGAGAGCTTAAAAGCTTTCGGGTGCGGCTTGCTGGCTTGCCAGAGCAGCTACGCAGCAATTTTTCTTTCAAGCTGTCCACGAACTTACTTTAGTACAAAAAATATTAAAACAAATTTGTTTTTCTCTTCGTCTTTCCTAATTGGCTGTAAAACCTTTTCGATTCGCTTTGGACTCAGCTTTAATGCATAAACAGACGAGTATTTTCACGAATTCCTTCTATTCAATTATTAACGCCCAACACTTGTATAATCGGCAACTATTCTCATTGTGGTAATAGACCATGGCGTAACCATTGCAAATCAATTTTTTTTTATTTACAAATAAAATTATATCTTTCTTATGAAGCACACATCTATATACAAATTAATTTGTGTGTGTAATCCTCAAGAGAAAGAGAGAGAGAGAGAGAGAGAGAGAGAGAGAGAGTTTCGCAATAGGTTATCGCTGAACTGTGCAAATCGAAATTCGGTGATAGCTTTCTATATATGCACATATGCATATGTTCGCAATTCCTTCTACTTATAATCTTACATGCCTGGCGAACTCAAGATGTAAACATTATTTGCGAAGCTCTACGCAAAGTGTTCAGACATACGTTTACAATTAAAAAGAAGAGCTGATTCCTAGACAAAGCTGCAGCCGAAATGAAGATACTTTACGCTGTGACTTTTATTCTGCTTTTGCTGGCATTTCAGCGTTTGACATATTCGCGAAAAATAGTACATCCAGATGTGAATAACAAACTCAGGACTGAGCCCATAAGGGACTTCACGGGGAAGCCCATACGTCTTGAATTTGAAAAATAAGTGTTAAAAAATATACTTTATATTGTAAATAAACCATTGTTGTTTAATGTCAGAGTAGAGGATAAGCTAGGCAAAGTCAGAAAAATTATATTCACATGACATTTACTTTTGCGAAAGAGACAGACAAAAAACAGAAAGAGATACGAAAAACCAAAAATAAATAAAGCGTGAAAACGTGTAGGGCTTACTTGAAACTATGAGAATCGCATAGTAAGGCAACGGAAATATGTACGTACATATAAATATAACAAAAATCAGTTGTCTAGTGGAATACAAGTTGTTCTGTTCAATCAATAAGTCTGGAAACCCCATAATAAACTTAACTTAATCCATATGGACTTGTTAATTAATGTTTGCGTTCTGTTTCTTAAAGCACAATTGTGGCTAAGCGAGTATTTAAATCATGACAAAATTTTTGAATAGTTCCAGAATTTATAAGATTAGGTAGCGCTTGATAATTAAAAAAGTTTTTGAGTCTACCTCTTCAAAACTAAGATCTTTAAATATACATCAGTTAGGAATGCCAAGCTGTATCTGTATCTGCTTCTCAGCATTGTAAGTCGGTTTGCATAAATAGAATTTTCAAATCAATAATCTACTTAGCAAAGTCTCAGTGGGGAAATCATTCGTATATCTGAACGCAAGGTATTAAAACGTTATAAAGTGAGTATCGCAAGATATCAATATACTGAAATCAACTAGATTTTTGCTTGAATACTGCCAGAGCTATCAACAACATGAATTTTCTTTGCGTCTTGGTAATTTTCCTACTTTTCATGCAATTAACCGTCAACTGTGAAGTGTTAAAGTTGCGACCGCAACCCGCGAAGGATTTTACGGGAAGACGCAGACGCCTCTTTCCTAATGTCGCGTCGATCAGGACCTAATATATATATGTTTATTTATATTGTATCCCTTTGAATGAGCACCACAATAACGTGCAGTTATTTGTTATAAATTGGTTTATTAAACAAATATGTTCTTCGTGAAAAATTTTATGAAAATGTAAAATTTTATATATTGTTCACTTGATACTTTCTTATCTTCAAATGTAGTCTATCAGCTTTATTAGCTGCCTAAAATTAACAGGAAGCCTTAAGCAGTCGTCTTTTAAGGGTTTCTTGCTAATTACAATCAAAATACTTGTAAAAACAAAGATTTTAATAAAACACACTGTTAATAATTTATTTATAATTAATGGCAATCGAATGTTTCCAGTATGCAAAGATTATTAGTCTCACAAGTGCTCACAAGCTACAGTAAAACATAGCTAGAGAAGTAGCCAAACGTGTTTATAGCTTAAAATTGCGGATCTTTCAATAGTTACAGAAAAATTAAAAACGATAAAAAACGTTTTTTTTTTCTACAAATAAACCTACACAAGAAAATTGTTTGTTACATGCTAAAGCTACGTCTTCAAAATATAATGTAGCATAAATATATATGTATATAGACATCTCCACTTCCGCAAATATCGGTTCTTAGCATTGACTACTCTTCAGCATAAGAAAAGCCTTATAAAAAGTCTAAGAACAATGTAACCCAATCGCCTAGCACAGTCGAGACGTGCCAATTTTGCATCATTGCTGAACCTGAGCAAGATATCACTAGATCGAAAGCCGAAATGAGTCATGCTGATTGATTTCAAATATGAGAGCTCCGGCAGCCGTGAACGTTTATAGAAAGCCCTTCAGCTAAAGGTTATTTCGCCTAGGTCTGGATGATATTTTAATCAGGAACATTTATAAAATAATAATAACATTAACGCCTTATCAGCTGTGACTAGGGTCAATGAAATACATCCACCCAACACATGACGATAATGTAGACATTAATGTAATCTCTTCCGGCTTTTACCTGATAATTATATTTTACAATGTTTTAATTATTCGTAGTCTCGACTATTAATAATAAATAAATAGTTACAACACCTTAAATGCAAATACTATTATCAGCCTGTCTCTCTGGTCAGTGTAAATAGAATCGAGCAATCATTAATCGCGACTGTCGAACTAGGACTAGACGTTCACATCAATCGTAGTATTGACTGCATTCGAGCTAATTGTAACATCAGATCCTTGAACACAACAGGGACTGCCAACAAAATGAGTACACCTCACGCTATGGGCTTCATCCTGCTAATCCTGCTGGCACTTTTCAGTTTTGCTTTAGCACAACACGCAGTCCCGGACGAAAGGAGGTTGAGGTCTTTCGCCCACACTTCCGTTATGGGAAGGCCCAGGCGTATCGATTTTAATAAGACAACTACAAGTATTAATAAAAATGCTGTTAATTGATAATAAAGAAAGTGTTTTTTTTTTGGAATAATTTAAAGTTTTCAAATTGCTTGCGATTAAGTGATTAAGTCTTCAAAATATAATACATCATTGATATTTTCAATGATGCTTTTTTCATGCTTTGATTGATATTTCCTTATATATCAAATGCTGAAATAATCCTTCTAAGGCCTTCATGTAACCTTATATAATTGCAAATCTATTATTTACCAATAAAATGATGTCTTTCGTATAAAGTACACATCCATATACAGATTCCTTTATGTGTGTAATCTGAAAGAGTGAAAGTACTGCAATAGGTTATCGTTGAACTGCGCAAATCGAAATTGAATGATAGCTTTTTATATATGCACATATGCTCATGTTTGCAATTCCTTCTACTTATAATCTTACATGCCTGGCGAACTCAAGATGTAAACATTATTTGCGAAGCGTTACGCAAAGTGTTCAGACATACGTGTGCAATTAAAAAGAAGAGCTGATTCCTAGACAAAGCTGCAGTAAAAATGAAAATACTTCACGCTGTGACTTTTATTCTGCTTTTGCTGGCATTTCATCGTTTGACATATTCGCGAAGTATAGAACATCCAATTGAGGGGAACAAACTAAGGCCTGAGCCCAAAAGGGACTTCACGGGGAAGCCCATCCGTCTTGATTTTGAAAAATAAGTGTTAATAAATATAATAAAAATTGTTAATGAAGCATAGCTGTTTTATATTTGATACTCCAGGCCCAGGTCAGAATTTATTTTACATGACATTTGCTAGTAGGAAAGATTTAATTATATATTTTTTAATCTATTTAACGGAGAGCACTCTAGGTCAAAGACAAGAATTAAATTATATACGGCGAATGCTTTATAGATGTTGGATCGATGCGCTTCGCAGATAGGAATATGTGAATACTTGTATGTACACATCTAATACAAATGTATGTGTGTAAGTGGTGAGCACATAGTAATAAGCACATATTTATATAAGTTTAGCTACTGCGATGCATCGATATGCTCGATCTGTTTGTGTAGCGCATCGTAAAGCTCGGCACACACAAAATTAAAGGTGCCCAACACATTCGCGTACACATAAATTAAAACCCAGATCTCGTAAAACTAGCTTCGGCTCAAATTTGTTGTCGCTGGCGTCGGCGTCGACGTCGCTGTCAACGTCGGCGTCGGCATTAGTCTCAGCTGCACTGCAACGGCCGTTGATCAAGTCGCTTTTGTGGCAGCTGTCTTTGTTGTTGTTATTGTTGTTGTTGCACCACTCAAACTTGTTGCTGCTTACGAAAAAACATAAACTTTTCGCTTTGCCGTAGTAAAGATTTTGTTGTCTTATATACCCATTAAAATTGTATATACAGGGTATAATTAAACCGTCCTTATGTATGAATCAGACAAAGGAAATTTCTGCTTACATCAGTTATATTTGTATTGAATAACAAGCGCTTACATTTAAAACTCTCTCTCGCCTTTCTGTGCGCTTCTCATGAGCCTTTTATTTGAACAATATTGGTTATTATATGCATGTTTAATTAGATTTCAATACTATTTCCTTTATATTTATAATGTAGACGACTTATAACTATGTCATAGCTGATAAATCTTAGTTTCCCTCTCTCTCTCTCTCTCGCTCTTTCGCTTCCTTATCTACTACCTAAACTTTCTCTCTGAGATCAAAATTAAACAGCATCTCGTGAAAGCATGAGTATGAAATGCGATCGACATCAAGGAATGTGTATTTCTAGTAAATACGAATTGTATGTTGAGTCAATGTAGACCAGTGCTCCACAGGGTATAAGCTATTCGAGCACACTCTTTATTCTGCGTCGTTCAAATAATTGAAGTGGCCACAGCGTCTAACAAAAAATCATTGCACTATACACAAATAGTCTTATGTCTATATAATATATATAATATTGAGTATATAGCATGTCTGTATATATGTATGTTTGTGTGTGTGTATGTATGTGGCCAGGGTTCATCTTGATTGCCAGATGGCCAGTATCATTGAAGTGCATCAAATGCGCCGAATCATTAACCAATATCATTATATGCATGACTCTCATGAAATATATAATCGTTCAAATTAGTCGCTAAATTTTTTTTCATTTTAATTATTGTTATTATAATTATAGTTTTATTGCCTTTTATAAGCTTTATTACTTTTGCGTATAAATATATTTTGTTTAGCTTTTGTTTAAATTGTTGTTATTTATATTTTTGTTAAGTTTCTTGATATTGTTATGTTTTTTTTGCTGTTCGTTTGGGTGATTGGCGCTGGTTGTTTTTTTTTGTAAATCGTCGTCTATTATTTAATTCTTATAAATGTTAGCAAACGTATACAAAAGCATCCGTAGTTTGATTGGGACGGGTTGCTTTGTTGATTTTACATTCGCCTTACTAATAGTTTATATCATGCTAGACGCTCGTTTATTAGCTGTATCTCAATGACCCAATGCCCGGACCGGCGTTTGACCGCTATCATTATGCAATCTTGAGTTTATTTATGTTTTTGTTGTTGTTTTTCCTACTGTAATTACATAATTTTTATATTCGAAATGTCACAAGCCAACAAACGCAGTCGCCGCACAAACTTTGAGCTTCAGCTCTCAGTTCACATTGAGTTATTAGTGATTAAATTTCTTTTTCAGCTTAGGGTTTATGCAACCAGTCGCCCAATGCACGAAGCCAACACCAACGCCAACGCCAACACCATCCCGCCAATCACCGCAGCACGCCCCATTCCCAGTTCCCATAAGACGTCGTGGACATTACAGCATCCCCAGCATTTGCGATCGGAGCTGTCAGAGCTCCACTAATTGCCGGCTTCAAACTCCGCATGACTTTCATTTGTTTAGATTTTGGACTGTTTTGTTTGTTTTCGTTCCCAAATTCAAAAGGCACTTGCCGATTTGCATATAATAATCCGGGGAGCAGCTGAAATGCCAAATTAATTAACGATACCCTATGAAAAACAATACTTGCATCAGCTTTGTTATCCAATTGCAGGTTTTACAAATTAGATTAGCATAGATAGATACACACTTTCAATTAAACACAGCAGAGTTACGAAGCGGTCGAAAAATAGATCCAATCTTTATACTATAGATAGAGCTTAGAGCTATGATGAGGTTCACAAGCAAAAACTTTGATTTTGGTCGAGAAATTAATGAAATTTCTGGGAATTTTATTGTCTCAGCAAATGTGCGCATTATCTTAATTATTTAACCTGTGCGAACTAAACGTATTTGGGAATTGCCATTTTCAAAAACTCACTTTTCTGGTTTCTGCGCTCATCTACATGATTATTTAACAATATTAGAGATCAAGTTCAAAGTCGTAGAGCACTTAGAGCAGTTCCTATAAGTTTTGACCTGTCGCAATAAAGTTTTTAGAGCTTAAACAAATTACAAATAAATTAAATCGAGCTGAGCTTAGCTTAAAGCTCTGATTGGCCGCTGTTGAAACCTAAGAATATTTCACATAATTGTAATTACACCAAAATCGTTTTAATTAGCGTGCACGTGAATTCTCGGATCTGTCACTGATGCTAATTCGATTTGGTTTTCGCAGAAAGCGGCCATTATAAATGTCTACTGCGCAATAGTGCAGGAATATTTATGCATCTATTTGAAATTCAAAATTGTTAAGCATCGGGTACGCCTACAAATTACAATTTTCTTTTTATTATGGGGATTTTTACAGTTTCGTTAAGTTTTTTGTTTTGTTTTTACCCAACTCTTAACGCGATTCAACCAACTTGATTTGCTCTCTCTCCGATAGGGAGCCGGCGGTACCAAGCGGCGACTTGGCACCAACACGTCGGCTCGGGCACATGCCTGGGAATAAAGCGGCAACAAAAGGAAAACAAAAGCGCTTCAATGCGGCTTTACGACTCTACAGGGAGCGCTGAAAGAGGCTCGCATATGTATACATGTGTGCTCCTATATGCAATACCCAGGCACAACTACATAAGTTCGTCAAAGCACACATATGTCTAATAACTAATCGCAGGTGTGTACGAAACGAAAACCCAAAAAAAAAAAATATAAATAAACGCAAAAAAGTTCGTAAATAATAGCAACAACAGTCGTAACAAATATTTGTGGTCGTCAGATGCTGTTCAGCGCGTCGCCATTTTGATTTGGTTTAAAATTAGCTAATAATAAAAAAGTGAAAAAAAAATGGTGAAAAAAGGTGCAAAAAGGTAAACAAGCCGCACACAAAAAAATCAAAACATACGAAAAAAAAAACATCTGCGAGTTTTTGTCAAGCGGAATATGCACAATAATAGAAATACGCTTCTCGATCGAGACGAATTCGCAATGCTCTACTCTACTAATTAAATTAGGAACCGCACCCTTTCACAACTCGAACGAATCAATTTCCAACGAACATTGTTCTTAAGCTCTATTTACTAGTTTCCTTATATGGAAAGTATTTGTTTTCCACTCCAAAATGCAGTCCACATCTCTATTGTTGTGTAGCGCATTAGAAAATACAATTAGATTTCGAGTTGGTCACGGTAGAATGGTTGTTGCGGTGATTATAGTTAGATTTAGGTGTTTGAAGATTGTTTTTGGGGATTTTCTATTATTATGTTCGTGCACCTAAAGGGTATTCACATGAAACAATGTAGCATGTTTCTTTACCTCGGGCAAACTGATTATTTATTTTACTAACCATAACTCTTTTTTACGTTTTTTTCTTTCTTTTGTAGAAAAAAGTCCCCATAGATATTATAGTATAGGCATACGAAAGGCGTTTTTATCAAAGCTCTGCAGCTTCTTTATGCGCAGAGACTGGTTTTTGTTTGTTTTGTGATTCGACAAATTTAAAGAATAATTCTATGCAATTGATGAATATAATTCCCTTTGTACCCATTACGAACGTGCTAACAGCGTTTAGCACCTCACCTCATATAAAACAAATGCCTCAAGCCCCACCATTCCCCCGGGCCACAGCGTTTCCAGTGCGCATGGGATGAAAGCATGCACAAATAAATTTAACCAATTTGAACGGGAATCAAGACTGACCGAGACCGTAAATTGTTTAAGCTCTAGTATATTATATTTTCATGTGTAGATCCGCAAATTAGTGATAGTTTTGTTTTGAGCAGATTACGCCCATTAGCATGGTGAAATTTAGTTGCATATAGAGCAGTGTATTGTTATGGTATATAAATGCCAATCGGAATTAGTTTTAACTTCTCTTCTTTTTTTCTCTCTTACCAATTAACACCATCCGTTCTGGCAAGCCCATTTACTTGATTTCTAGTTCAAGCTCCGCTGGTTGTTTGGCTTGGCTCGGCGCTTCGTGTTGAATGTCAATGACTTGGTTCGTCGCTGGAGTTGTTGCTGGAGCTGGAGCTGGAGCTGGAGGCAGTGGCATTTGCAGTGTTCATTTGTCAACAACAACAAGTAGCTACAACACCAACAACAACAACAACAACAACAACAGCAACTAGCTACAACTACAACAATGTCGCCCTCAATGCCCATGCAGCGTTGCGCTTTTAACGCTTTTGTATTATTATTTGCTAAGCAGATCATAAATACTCGGCTATATACAACAACAACAACAACAACAACGGCAATTGATGCAGCATATTTGACTTGAAATGGCATTTAGAAATGTTAATTGCCGGATTTATGGCTGTGGGAGTGTTTCGTATTTAAAGAACAAGCCCCACAAAGGTAAGAGCTGCGGAAAAGTTCAAATATCCGCCAAGATGAGTTAAATAATCATTGAGAAACTATAAACATAATGTGCTAAAATGATTATGGTCCAAGGCGCAAGGCACAACAAGCAGCCGCATTGTTACGCCCATTTACGCATGTTTACCAAGTTTCAGGAGTTTTTGGGTAGAAGGAAAACAATACGCAAGGTTTTCACACCAAGGTGCCAAAATTGCGGCAACAGCCAAATCCAAATGTCAAAGTCCGCATACAGCTACAGCTACAAGTGTAGGGTATATATGTACTTATGAATATTTATCTGAATTGGATTGCTTTTTATTTTTATTTTTTGTCGACATCTTCAAAACACAATGGTGGATTTTTTTTCTCTCTAAATTGCAAATGCACTTAACAAATGCGATTTTCGAAAGCGATAGCAAGTCACATTTTGAAGTTTTGGGAAAAGCTACAAAATTTCAGAGAAGCAACAAAAAAATTACACTTAAAGTACGGATAATGGACAAAGACAAAGCGAGGAAGGTTATTGTTGAAGCGCCACAAATTAATTTGCACCTTTCGCCTCTGTCGCAGCAGCTGTCGCGGCAGCAGCAGCAGCAGCCGCAGCAGCAGCAGAGATAGCGACAAGTCTGTCGGTCGCAGCAGCCGGTGAAAGTTGCATGCAAATACAAAGCCAGAAAAACTGTGGTGCTGTGGTGCTGTGGGGCTGGCCAAAAGCCCAAATCATGATTCGCGTTGCACTCTCTTTGCTGGGCTGCTGCAATTGCTGCTGGCAAATGCCAAAGCCGCAGGGCCCTTCTATTTCTTTTCCCTGTGCTTAGCGGCTATGTCATAATCCGCGTCGGGGCTTTTCCTCATTGCACCCGAAAGCGTTTCGCTTGAGTTGGGTGCCTGGCCTAACGGCAAGTGTACGCGTTATTTGTCATTTATTTGCACTTCGCAATTGAGTGCGCTTTGCTGGTAGGAAGCGGAAATAAGTGGCATTTGGCGAAAAGTGTGATGTTTGAGTGCGTTTTTGCTCAATTTGCGCCGTTAAAAGCATTATGCATTAACAATATTGGTCTTAAATTAATTTATCAACGGACCGTTAAATCAATTTAAAAATGTCATTTCTAACTCGCCACTTATCGATAGTTGCGCTCTCAGTGGCTGTCAAACTTTAACAGCTGTTTAGCGGCATACTTTTAAGCTGTGAATAATGTTATCGATATAAATAGCTAACAATTTTATTTGAATACTTAGTTTAAATTACCCATAAATACATGAGTTTTTGTATCACTGCTGTCATAAATATTAGTTTAGCAGTCAGGTATTGTAACATTTTGCATTTTGCAATCGATACCATATATCGCTTTGCAGCCCTGGAAGTATCGGTATCGTCTGCGCAAGTCATGACCCAAAAATGAACATCAGCTCTTTGAAAATGCATAAACACTTTTTTACATGAAGTATTCAAACAAAAGCAAACTCAAAACGTGTGCACGTGGATGCGACGAAGCGTGTGTGCCGTACGTGGAGAACACAGGAAAGGGCGTGCATCAAGATTTTAAAGAAACAATTCAGCAAGTACGCACCGCACTGTCAATGAGGATGACCCACACCCGCACCCCGCTAACGCAAACGCATTGATTACTACACATTTTCATCGTGCAAGCAACGCAACGCGGCGCCGCCATTGAATCTAAAATCAGGCAAGTTCTAAACGAAAAACGTTTCCACATAAGCTTACGCAAAAATGTCGCTAATGACGCGCATCGAGGGCGGCGGCGGCGGCGACAGCGGCGGCAGCGAATCGCAGAAGACGCCTTCAATTTCCGAGGTCGCTGCGTTAAGCGATGAATTACAAGATGGTGATAATAGCCTGGAGCCAGGTGAACTTGTCACGCCACCGCATCAGCAGCCAGGCAACGCTAGTCCGGCACTGAAGAAAATGCTCGCCAAGGACTTTATAAGCAAGGCATTGCGCAAGCTGACACAAATCGATACGGATAACTGTGAGGAGAAGGAGCGTGCTATTTTGGAGCTGGAGGCCATCAGGCGCAAAGATGCGGCTGTCAAAATGGTGACTGAGAAGCCAGCGCAAACCTATCCACTGGAAAATGGCAGCGCTGATACTGTAACGGCGGGTACATCGACGCCCGCATTAACGGACGATGCCGATGACAGTGAAGGCTTGTACTCGGACACCGACTCCTCTGGGGATGACCAAAAGAATGTAGAGGATGTGCAGAAGGCGCGCAAGGAGAAGGAAGCCGAGGCAGCTGCGGCGGCAGCACCACCACCACCACCTGCCCCTCACCATCCCTTTCTTGGACTAAATCCGCTGCGTTTTCACATGCGTCCGCCGTGTTTTGACTTTGGACGCATGGGTTTTGTGCCCAGAATGCCGCGTGGTGGCATGCGTGGAATGCGACCAATGTTCTTTAACCGACTACCCGCTGCCAATCGTTGTGCCACGCCCAGGGGCACAACACCGCCTTCATTAGTATCAGCGTCGCAAACGTGCAATGGACCTCAAGGTCATGCTGCTCCATCACCAGGTTCATACGGACCAGCGTTGCCACCCGGTCAGGCCCAAGGTCAAAATCAGGTCAATAAACGCACACAGTCCGATATAACGTAAGTATAACGAATCAACAGGAGACGATATTGTAAATAATGGTAAACGTTTTGCATATATCTAATTTTGTGCTCACCCAGCTGGACAACATCGCAGCCGCCAGTTTCGTTCATCTTTAACCTAGTTACGGAATGTGGCAATGCGCAACACAAAAGCTGCAAGCAGAAAGAGATACAGTCGGCCAAGCCTAACTCCAAGGAAAATGCCGGCAGTGACACGCAAAGGGAACTATCCAAGGATGAGAGTAACCCATGCAAGGAGCCGGCAGAGGAGCGTAAAGAGAAGCAGAGGGACCGCTTTAAGGATAAACTTAGGGAACGTTCCAAGGAGTCTAGAATCGATTGCTCAAAGGAGAGACTTAAAGAACGCTCAAGCGACCGTTTTAGGGAAAAAAAGAGCGAACGCTTCAGTGATAGGCAGAGGATTAACTCCAAAGAGAGAAAGGAGTGCTCCAACGATAAGCAAAGGGAACGCTCTAAAGATATCAGGGAATGCTCCAAT